TTTGTACGGCCAGTCAACCCCACACATACACACCAGTACACCTCTATGCGCATATCCGAGGCGCCACCTACTGGAAGAGGCAAATTATCGGGTGTTACCATAGCGATGACCATCTGCCAATGAACGTGACCGCTGGGACAGGGAAACAAATCAGTTTGTAAATATGTACACAGCTAATCTGTCTCATTCTCATCGATAAAAAAGGCAACTCAATATACCGGAAGATTTTTTCCGATATCTATTATCCTGGATACAGTACGGTCTGGGGGAACGTGACTTGAGGATATATATCCTTGAAATAATTTCTCATTTAAAAGAGATATTATCTTTTTTTGTTGTCATTTTCTAAATAAAAAATAAAATAAAAAAATCAGCCAGAAATTCTTCATAAAAACTTAGAGGCTGGTAGCCAGTCTAGCATATCTTATGACAACATGCATTGCTATTATAGTATCGCTATGTTCATATAGGTAAACATTATGAAGATTCGATATATAAACTTTTTTTTTACAACTTTTATGAAACAAATTTTAAAACTTGTATTCGAAAATCCACTTTTTGCTCCTTTTTTTGCGGATCTTCAGTTCTTGGTTAATTGCTATTTTCATTATAAACGGTTTGTTCCTACCGTTTTGTTGATAATCTATAAACATACATGTTTTGCATCAGATTTATTTACGTAACTTTATTATTTGATTTATAAGAACTGATAAAAAAAAAGATAAAAACAAAAAATAAATATACACGCAGATCTTCCTTCAGTTTCAAGCTAAACTTGCCACCAGGCCCTTACTTTTCTGTTTACTTGTTTTTTGTTATTGTTTTGTGTAAAAAAAAGTAGTACATCTGCATTGTTAAGCTAGCTTAGCTCCTCTCGTTGGAAACTTAGGGTCAGACACCAAATGTAAAAGATATGAAAGATTTAAGAGACGGGGTCAGTCTATTTGCAAGCCGGCGAGCATTATTCAGAGAAACTAGTAAGCAAAACTTGATTTTATATAAGAAATTTCAATGAAAACACAAATCAATATTAATTTTTTAGAGTGCATAATAAATGTTTTCTGCCCTAGATTAATGACCTTGTGCCTTTACGAATTAATACAAAGTCGATATAATATCAGAAACAATTATGATTACATAATAAATAGACACGGTATGTCTTCGTGTATCTCACAAACCGCTATTCAACCTAATACGGGAAGACGAGAATTCGCTATACATCTCACTAAGAAATAGCAAAAGGTTATCAACTTCTGAAAAATCAAATTTTATAAAAGGGCAATCATGGTGTTAAACAATCAGTGGGTTTTAGAAACTTTGAAATACTGTATGCTAGACTTCTATATGGAGGTAAAATAATAAATCTAATCTTTATAAAGTTAATCTAGTCTTACTTCAGTCATGCGGGTATTCGTATTCAACAGAGAACATTATTTTATGGATTGTAATAAGATGATTTTGGTATTGTTCTTTTGGATTTTTTTTCCGAGTATTTGATTGATATTGATATCTAATAAAGAAATCTGATTTATTTAGTCAATGAAATAACGAATACATTTGTATCATTGTTCAGTAATACAGAAACAAATATTGTTCACATGGTCATATATCACAACCAGTAGAATGTTTATTTGTGACGTCTCACTGGCTAGGACGATTGTACTGCATTATACAAAAGACCGTTAAAACGTTTGTGCACCAACAACCAGACTCTTGTTTTCTGCACAAGCTACGCCGAACAAAAGAGTCTGGTCAAACCCAGTGCTATTGTTTTGTGAAATCATAACGAGGCTTACCAGAATTCTGGTAAATGATTTCATTGGTCAAAGGTAGACACACCCCTTACAACTATTGGAGTCTGAATTTGAGTGGCGCAAAATTGTATATTTTATATTATGATTTTTTTTTACCTCTACATGCATTCTTGAAGTATTCCTGTTTTCATTAGTATCGAGAAAGTTGTAGGAAAATGCTTCAAATCTCAAAATGGTTTCATGTATTTTCATTTCCTGAGTGAGAACCTGTAGTGCTTTGAATGGTGCACAGGTAAAATCTCACTTACTTTGCATGCTTTTTTCCAATTTCTGTCAGCCTTGTTGGCTTTGTGCTCAGTTATGATTTAGTCAGTGGAAATATATGGCATTATTCTGGAGATTAGACCCATTTTTTTTTTTTTTACATTTTTCTCGATAATAATGAATAAACAGATACTTCAGGAATGTATGTACAGGTATTTATTTTCATTAATTTCATTATTTTTTTATATGTTTAAACGGCGTTGACATAACGTCCAGAAACGAAAGTAAAAACACTGCCCTCTGGTGATGGTAATTTTAAGTACTGTGTTTGACCAGACTTTTGAATTACAAGTGATCAAGCGTCTGGTTGAACGAGACTAGAAGTCCACTCTATAACCATATGGTAACCTAGTTGTTATAAATGTACGAAATGACGCTTACATCAATGAATCGATTCGGCTACGATTCGCTTATTAAATACCGGTCAGTTTGTGTATGTGATAAAATAGACCTCACCTTACCTTGTAGCAGGGAGGTGATACATGTACCTGTCTCTATGACGGAACTAGGATGACCTCCATCAAAGTTAGGAGCATGATGAGACATAATGAGAGGTAGACACGACTTTTAATCAGAAGAAGGATGGTGTGTGAAGCTGGTTGAATGAGCAGTTGAATCGGTTATAAATCAGTTAGTTACCAGTAAAACACTTGTTAAGTAATAAATCAATGATGTGGGTTTTTTTTAAAAAAAGGGTACATGTAATTATATCTACCACCCCAATATAGATTTCATGTTTTTTTTTGTTTTTTTTTTATTATATTTTCAAAATTTTATGACATAAACATATATATATATATACATACAATGTACATGGGCGTCAATAATCGCCTTTAAATAATGTACATACTGTTCAAAATATTCTATCACAATTATCAGTATTCGTCTTTCATATATATTAACAAATAAGTATAAATTCACATTTTGATATAAAAAAAATAAACTTCCGGATATTCTTGTCCGTACTTTATTCTAATTAAAATTGTATTATAATCCAGTGTCTGATTTCCGTTTAGAGTCACGATGATGAACAGACTTCGCACAAACGTTATTATATGGTAAAAAATAGTATATGAAATGCTTCGTATGGTATAACATCATCCAATTCAGCGAATTAAAGTGCCATGTTAGCGTTATAAAAAATGTAGTTCTAGAGTATGTGTTGATAATAGTCAGGGTAAAATCTATTAAACAAAAACAGTTTCCTTTCCGACCCCCCCCCTCCCCCCCCCTCCCCCATCACCCACCAAAAAAATAAAAAAATAAAAAATCAGGCTTTAATATGTCTATGTGCTAGTAATATACCTTGCAATAATTTGTAGTTCTGAAATTAGTATACGTATAGATTTTGTATCTCTTACTGAGTTTGTTTTTGTAAATACTTTTAAATTTTCTAATAATACATGTTTAAACATTTTAAATGTAGATAGTGGTGTCTGTGTCTTGTTTTGATATTATAATATCTAATGATATTATATATCATGTTAACGGTTATATATTTGCTTAATATTTGCACTGTTGTCGTAGAATACTGATATAAAATATTATTTACTGGGACTAGAAATGTGAAAAATTGATTACAATTCCGCACGAATTACGTGGCTCACGTCGGCTAACGCACACGGTACATATACGTACATGAATATCAGGAAATACGTTAAAACGCAGTTTAACGCACGAGGAACGTATATCACATGGTTTAACGCACGAGAAACGTATATCACATGGTTTAACGCACGATGAACGTATACCACGTGGTCTTACGCACGAGGAACGTATATCACTTGGTTTAACACACGAGGAACGTATATCACATGGTTTAACGCACGAGGAACGTATAGTTCATGGTTTAACGCACGAGGAACGTATATCACGTGGTGCAACGCACGAGGAACGTATATCACGTGGTGTAACGCACGAGGAACCTATATCACTTGAGGAACGTACATAAGTTCGTTTAACGCAGGAGATACTTCTATCACGTAGTCCAACACACGATGTAACGGTAATTTAAAATTTCTCTTGAATATTATTCTAAATTGAGTACTATAGCCTATGATTACTATATAAATTTGTACGTAACATGAGATTTTCGGATGTGGCGCTGACAAAATTAGATACACTGAATGTCCATTTGCATATAATCCTTGGACCAGATGTTGTTCTCGGGTAGGTTTGTGGCACATTTGTATTGCTTGAACAATCTGGAATTTAAGCAACGTTTTTGTTGAGATATCTTAATTTCTTATCACATTTTGTACTTAGATTTAAAGTTTATCATTTCTAATCGAAAACTATAAAAACTTAAATTAAAAGTTCACTCATTATGAAAGTATCATTAATAAAACAAATAATCTAAAATTTATTGAAACTATTATCAATATCCTAGCTGTAGTTGGACCCCTGTGGAAAAGGACAGATACAAGAGTGTCAAATCGCGTCCGACTAACCTACGTTTTATTGTTGTGGACAGTATCTTTTTGGAGAAGGGGAAGATTAATAGAACATCTCACCCGAGGGGGGAGATTCTTAAGTTGCCAAACACGAGGCTTTGACGAGTGTTTGGCAACTTAAGAATCTTTCCCCGAGGGTTGAGATTCCCCTATCTCACCAGCAAGGGGTCTTACCATGTTCTCCTATTGCGTATCATATTCACAATGTTATGATAACGTTACATGCTAAATTTAGGGTTGACGTGAAGTTGATGGATTGTTGACGTGACGTCATTGTATTGTTGAAGTGACGTCATACCATTGTTATGAATAGGGGAATCCCCCCGTCTCAACCCTAGAGTGAGACAAGGAAATCTCACACCGGTAAAAGTGCGGATACACCCCCGTCCAGGGTAAGAGAATGGAAGGTCTATCTGAGAACTTAAAAAGGGAGAAAGACTTAAGAAACAACCTAAAAATGTTGGAATACCTGCACTCTGGCCTCTGACAGGCCTAGGCGCTGACTGAGTTCCTCCCGCATAAAGGCGTCAGGGTAGTGTGTTTCGTCGAACAGTCTTTCCAGCTCGTTCAGTTGTTCCAAGGTGAAGTTGGTTCTACTTCGGCGTTGTTTCAGTTTAGGCTGGCCATCCTCACTAATCTCAGTCCTATCCCCTATAGTCTCTGTAATTAGACCACATAGAGTTGTATAGTTCCCTCTGAAGTATAGATGTCATACTCATAACGTCACAAATTGTCACCTGTATTTAACACCTTGTCATTTAACTTACCGCTATTACCTCTACTTGAAATACATGTTGACAATAACCACCAATGTAAATTTCTTTAAAAAAGTCGATACCTTCGGCATCTATATCTGCCCAACTGTGCAGTTTTCTATTTTGGAAAAAATAGTTTTGTGTTTTTCATATGTAATATGTGATGATATATCTCATGACTGTTACTTTGAATCACTAATTTTAAAATGGTAAACGCTTGATAAATTTACGCTTCACTTCCTTCCATAAAAACAAACTGTACATTGATTTGTTTTGTGATCAGTCTTGTGATTGACCTTCACAAAATAATATTACGCCAATGATCCATAACAGATGTAAATTCGTAAATGTTACATACACGAATATTTGCTTTTTAACTATTTTCAATGTTTAATAAATTGCAATAAATTATATTTTAATTGTATGATAGAGTCCGCCAGAAGTAGATCTTACATATTTATTATTTTATTCTATAAATGACTATATATGGTCAATCAAATGTTAACTATCCAGGTACCACGTAGAAATGCATTGTGTTTAGGTCTTTTGCATTGCTATATAGTCTATTGATCATGGGAAACAGACGCGAGTATTGATGTTCTGTAGGGCTCGAACTGTTTGGTTCGGAGGCAGACATCAGTGACACTGTAGGATCATAAGATGTAAGTTGAGAAGACTGGAACAAGCCAACCCTTTACAAAATGCCCTATCAAATTGTATAAGTGGCAGTAGTTTACCAGTAGTGCTTCTATAATAGCGAGGAACATCTCAACAGCCTGTACTGCAATCCCACCGTAATTAACGGTAATGACATAAAATAAGGCCAATCTGTAGCAATTATCCGCTATATGTAAAGAACAAGGCCTAACATAGGCGCAGCTCCACAGGAACCGAGGCAGGAAATCATCTCAACAGAGCCAATCAGATGCCAACCGTACAAAGCTAAATTCAACCTTACAATTCAGAGGCTTTTTGCAATCGACTGATAAAGCGATAGAAATAAAAAAAGGATTCACTTCAATTAATATTATTTCTTGGAGATGGATATCAATTTTGACTCCTCTTACAAGATTCCTTGTGATTTTAGTCTTAAAGGCCAGCTGAACCGTGATCCATGGTTATACAAAAGGCTATCATCAGGGATTGATTTGACGGAAACCTCGACTCTCGTGATGAAGCTTAGTCTGTAATGATAACCTCGTCTAATTAATATTACAGGGTACGGCGCTGATGGCTAGAGGAGAATGTAGCGAGCTAATCAGAAGGATGGGTGCGCGGATTTACAAGCGACCACACATAATAGGGTGTTTGTTAATTCGTGTCGGCGTCACCTCGCTATATACCGATACTAGAGTACACTTTCACCAGAGTAAAAATGTCGTCTGCTAAATGTGTTACATTGCTAAGCCAACACACAGCTCGTATTGCAATGTATCTAAGATGGAAGACCGTCTTGGTTGTACAAGTCTTGCGCAAGCTACTTTACACCTCCCCAGAAACATATATACAGTACAATGTAGTAAGATAATCCTGGCTGTGACCTGAGCAGATATTGGAAGCACTTTGTCGTTAGAGACGTTTGCTGTTTCGTGTCTTTTTGTCTATGATGCCTTATGTAGAATTTGTTTCTTTAACATTAGACATTAGGTTAAGAAGGTTTCCGTGTTAGCTTTTGTCGAGTTCACGTCCTTAGAGACATATATTGATGATGATTAATGCAGTGTTGATTGTAGATTTATATATGAGTCTCCTCGCCAGAAACACAACATAAACAATATGGTATCATAATTTGTCACTTCATCAGATATAAAGAAACAAGTTCAATGTTAGTGGGTTTTTTTTTTAATATATTATCATAAGCAAAATAAAGTGATAATATGTTAACTAGGGACATATTCGAAATTAAAATCTTACTGAAGTATGATGCTTTAGGTATGTTAATAATATGTGTAATTCCTTGTTAAATCTGATACTTCATTTCAAGATCTAGCACTTAAGTTATATAAAAAATAGTGTCGAAGTCATATTTAATTCTGGAATTCAAGTTATAGATAATTCTGGTAATCAATGTTACTTCCGTTACTTAAGTTATTGTTAATTCTTGTAATTAATGTTAATACCGTTGAACATATATTTTTTAATAAATGGTGGTACTGACGTTAAATATGATTCTGGTTCTGAAGTTGTAGTACATCTGGAAACATAGTGTGCTAGATATGTACATTTTATTCTACCTGTTATACTAATAGTTAAATCTTGGACTTAAGTTATAGCTTAGCCTGATTCATGTTCGTTAGTTTTGATGAAATCTGCAAGTGTTTTGAAGTGCCAGCACTCTATTTGAATTTGTTGTTTCGTTCGGTTTGTGTATGCAGTTAGCATCCTACGCAAATAAAATAAAATAAGTTTTACGTTGATTCGATTTTAATGAACCTGGCTTTATATAAGTTACCGCCAGGTATATTTCATGTATTCAGAAAGTGCTGTACGGATTGAAGGGTAGCATCGACTGTATCATCTAAAAATAATCCAAATGTTGGATCGCTGCGTTCCCGGATGTATTCAGTTACTATGTGTCAATGACCCAACACCGATTCAATTGTAGAATATTTACACAATACGTATTGTCTGATTGGGTGTTCGTCTGTCTACGCTAACACTATACCACAAACATAAATTGAAAGAAACCTGTCTGGAACAAACTGTCAAGGCTATTGTGTACCTGGAGTTGCCACCGCCCTGTGTGTATTGTACATTACACTGTACTGTTATTGATATAAAAAGCTTTTTTTACTCTATATAAGACATTTTGCGTTAAGCGTGAAACGTCTACGCACGTGCTTTCGACAATGTTGTAATGTTCATCTCGTACTCTATCCAGTGTTCGTTTATAATGAAAGCAACCTCCAAACTTATTGTCGTAGTGAAATTTTATCTTAGTGCATCTGGCAAAGTAAACGAAACAGCTTCTTAGTAAATAGCAATAAAACTGCCAAATTCAATGTATTGTTTACTACTTACATTAATACAGATATATTTATCAATTATATGTACAATGTGGTATAATTATGTTAATATGATATGGCTTAATGTTATGTCAACATCACATGTTGCCAATATGCTAACAACAGTATGTCAATAATAATCGTTTTAAAAGTTTACCCAACCTATATATATTAAAATAAATAGAATGCAATGAAACGTTTTGTTGTAGGATTGCTGAATATTGATGCACAGAAGGTTCGCACTAGGGTATGGAACATTTTACTTCCTTATAGTGGCCTAAAGGTTGAATGTGAATCGAAGGAAATTATTCATGTAACGGAAACGGAAATAGGCGTTGTAATTGAACCGGAAGTAATTGTATCTAATTTCTTGCACATGTAATGGACATGTTCCCCGTTATGTGATCAAATATTGAGCGCAAATAATTATTGTCCAAATTAAATCGATGAATGATATGAAGTTGGCTTGCACGTTCATGTGTCATTAAGATACAAATTCATAACGTTTTCTAGATATGTTATTCACAAATATATATGTTTTTGAGAAATCAGTGTACGTAGATGTTGTTAGGATGGGTTTAATTCACAGTATTTTGAATATTTGAAAATAATTTCATGTTTATTATAAAAAAAAACATCCAACAGTCGTTCAACAAAACTGATATTCTGATAAGAAATTAATTTACATTAAGCAACAGTATTTTTAATTTAATTTTAATAATATCTCTATCTAAACAAACAGGGATTTAGCAGTTAGCACAGCAATTATTTTGAAATATGTTAGTAAGACTCATTGAAATGCTATTGAATAAAGCATCCATGAAAACAACGAATTAATGACATTTCACCACGCACAATTTGTTATGACATAAGTGAGTGCTCAATAGACTGACAATTTATTATGACATAAGTGAGTGCTCAATAGACTGACAATTTGTTATGACATAAGTGAGTGCTCAAAAGACTGACAATTTGTTATGATATAAGTGAGCGCTCAATAGACTGACAATTTATTATGATATAAGTGAGCGCTCAATAGACGAAATGGCCATATGGTGCAGTTAATTTTATAACTGTATTTGGCTGACTTTATACATCGACTGACAATTTGTTAACATGTGCTTCTTTACTTAGTATTTCTAGTGATTTTAAAACTCAATAACATAAAAAAGTAAGATTTTTGTTATTTAGCATCTTGAGAAAAAATGGGATAAATTAGATACAACTGAATTAAAAATATATACAACACAAAACGGTTGTTAACTCTCAAAAAAGAGAAACATACATTTTAAAACAATGTCTTCTTGGCACTGACATGTGAAAGCAAAACCAAGTTTGATACGCCTTTATTAAAGACTTTTTTTTCGAAAATAGATATTTTGTTTTGCATACGTGTTAATTGCTATTAGTCTTGTTAGATATTTGGATTTGTCTGCATTAAAAATATGAACGAAAACATTCTCCAGCGTGTATACTAGGTGACATTAGAAACACAGAATAGTTATACCATATAAAAATGCAATTAGAAACCCGAATACTTAGTTTGAGTAAATTGTCTTAATAATCCCGCATTTCTGTGCAGGCTGCCTTATCTAGCTTCACGCCGATACAAGACATAAAAAGACACAGACCTGATTTTACAGTCTGCATCCCAAGTGCTTATCGGCATAGCCTCTGACAACTCACCAAGGCCAGATCTAACTCTGCCGGAACTCCTGGCACAGATACAAGTTCTATTTCGTATCGAGTCTTAGATGACATATTACGTTTAATTATTTAACAAAGGGATGCAGTCTTTGAATATGTGATATGTTCTCCATTTTTTGTGATGATTGAAAAACAGTAGAATGTACCCGTTAAGGATTTGATGTAATTACCGTGAGAGGTGTCATACAATTGT